ACGTTGGAAGCACTGTCTGACGCGTATGCCTCCGCGACCCGAAAGGAGAAGCGGCGATGGAAGATGAAGAAGAAGATGATTAAGGCCTTCCGCTATGTCTGCAGAGTCAGACCGAAATATGGACAGAGAACATCAGCTAAGATCATAAAAGATCAACGTCCAACCAATTAACATCTCGGAAGGTAGGTGACAAACGTCGTTTGAAAATCATACCAATTACTGTCCTATTGCCTTTGAAACGTACAAGTTCGCAAAAAATGAGAAGTGACAAACCTATGCCCATTTTAGTCACTCTTACAAAAGAAACGACCAGCAAAGTATCAAAACGAATGAATTAATTACCAACTTTTTAAAAAACGCAAAAAAAACAATCGATAAATGATACAAACTGATCAAATTATACGACATCTCAAATTCTAAGCAATCTACAGTAATAATACGCAAATATTCGCAGCAGCAATGCGCATCATAAGTACGATCTATCCTGATTTATAGGTTCTATCAATATATCTTAGCACAATGAAAAACTAAGAGGCTAATGGAATAGCTCCCTTTCAGCAATATTATTACAGAATTCGCGCTTAATCTAGACCACGCTAAAAGTTTACAATGTACAACGCTAAAGAAAATAGTTTTACATCTTCATAATGGTAAAATATCCGTAGGAAAAACAACGCATTATATTACACAGACTTGTGATCGTAATGCCCACTAGTTGAGTTTTTTTATTATTGCGTTGTTATATCTTTCAGAAATGCAACCTGTTTAGGTAGCAAACCTTTTTGATCATACGAATAGACCTTTTTTAGTGCAGCACGACAGATGATACTTTGCCTGAATAATTGTTTTAGTACATCGATGTATACCGATGCAGATAATGCGCATTTCGGATTTGTACATGCATTTGCCTCAACGGTTGAAATTGAAATCTCTTGAGGGAAAAGCTTATGAATGTATATTCTTGTCAAACGCAAATCAACGCTTTTCACTCAGAGCGGAATGAAACTGTCAGGCATTGGAGTTAAACAACAATAATGTTAGGGTGAAAATTTTGCGTTATTTGAAATATTAAATGAACTATTGATGACGTGATCGTTTGATCACGCGTTAATGCGTCAAATATCAGTCAGGAATGCGGGCGACATGTTAATCTCTGAACTGCATGTGTGGAGGACACAGACATTCAGGCGCTCACTGGTGTCACGCCTTATCCGGATGTTGTAAGATCAATGTTTACACGAGTTCAAAAAACTTTGCACCATATTCAATTTTAATTGATCCTTGAAGCGTATGAGCAAAATTGATTTGAATAATGTATATATTTGCGCTTCGCTTCAGTCTCGCTCAGCAATCTGGTAATTTTCTTCCCAACTTTAACGCATTCATTATTGATGGAATTAGCAGCTTGCCAAAACATCAATGCAAAATATAAATAAGAAATAAATGGCACATCGCATGCTAATAAAAAATGTATAAAATGATTTATTTTTAACCGAGACAACGAAAGAGACCTTAGCTTTCTTTGTCACAACTGCTGGCCATATAATAATTTCCATGAGTATATCTATATACCCATCTTCAGGTGTAACAAGCTTTACAAAAACCGTGAGATATAAATTGAAGCGCCGGTACTGGTCATTCACTTGTTTGGCCAACTATGTGTATAAATAATCCGTCCTTATTTATTTTCGCTAAACGTACGAATGAATTGCTCAACTTTAGAAATAACTGTCTAACGAGGATATCAGCGAAGAAGCTGCCCAATTAAAAAATTACACAAATTGCGGAATAAGCCTTTTTCACGAGGCTGGCTATCCAGTTATGAGTTGGATTCGATACAATGGCGTTTTAGATGTACATAAAATACTTCCCATGTCTCAGAATCTTGGAAGTGTGAATCTATGTTTCTGTAATACTTAACCATCATTATTACTGTATTACCTACAAAATAATCAGCAACGTTTTTTCGACAGTATGCAGTAATACTCAGGTAGCTTATTAAAAACATTAAATGAATGATGGTTCAGTGCAATGCAGAGAAAACAACACATTCTTCTGTCATTTGATATATTCCCAAGATAAAGATGGACGCCAGAAGTACGATTTTGGAGGTGGTTTTTAGACTAGGCTTCGACGGAGTGGTGCGCTTGCAGTTTTTCATATTTTAATTGTGAATATATGCTGAAACCTTTTCAAGCTCCAAACCAGAGAGGAGGAAAAAACCACTGCCATTTAAAATGTGCAGTTCTTGCCACCGATGCACCAACAGATATTTAGTGAATTGTGGAGGTTGGAACTATTGTGGTTGTGCCATACCTTTTTATCGGAGAGGTGCAACTAATCTTAACTGAAAGTCGTATGATTTGAAAAGACAGCTTTAATATTTCTATGCAACGACTTCAGTTTCCTGGAAACAGTCAGAAACATTACAGACAATATTTCCATGATTGTAATACTGAAACATGTATATGTATATCGTCAGTTGTAAATCGGGAATAACATCGATATTACTGAGATAAAAATCAAAATAGTAGTTGCTTTAATGGGTAACAGGGGAAAAACAACCGTTTCGCACGATGGTTTATAAGTTAACGACCTGAGACTCTGATGCGAAGTCATAAAGCATGTATTAATTTGATTAATGTCAGAACTGCATTTGAATGTTTGCAGAGATATGTCGTCCGACCAGGCATTCGGGATGTTTCGTCATTGTTAATTAAAAGTTCAGAACATCAAGTTTGTTTAGATCCACGATCTGACCTTATAAATCGTTTGCATATCAGCAAACCAAGAGAATCAGCTGTGATGAGGAGAGAACCGTTGAACCACTGAAAGGTTAGTCATAAGCTAGAAATAATAACGCAACTCCACTAAAAAACTTAATTAATCATGCGGATCAACCAGATCCGAATGAAAACATTACGTGCCGTTTGTCATTGTACTCTGTGGACGGACCGAGCTTGGACTGTATGTCAGATGACCCTACTTAAAGACTATTTTATGCGTTCTCTTCCCGCTTGTGACTAACCTAAAGATTCCATAACTAATGTTATAAAATAATCGTGCATTTATGTGGCAATCAAGATGACTAATTATGTTCATGTAGTGTTGATAATGTAAAGCACTAATCGGAAATCATACAATGGCAGCTGCCGTCACTGAGCTACGCCATCCTTCCCTCATATCAGCGCTTGGTATGGTCATCTTCTGAAGTAGTGCGGTAATAACTTTTACTAAAGCTATTCGCAATGCAGTATATGAGACTGACACAAGAGAAACCTCATGCTACTAGTCAAAAACACGTTGACCTCAACAGTATATTTAAACTGAATGCAGATATCAAAAAGTTCTGATGGTGAAGTTTCCAAGAGAAAGAATACTTTAATATTCCAGAGTCGCGACAATAAATCGATGCCTAATCATCTTTCAGCTTTCTAGCGGAGGTCACAGCAAAGGGACTCATTTTGTCGCTGCACATTTTCCTTGCGACTTCGGCAAGCTGTTAGCTACGCTACAAACACGTAGCGGTTCCGCAGGAAGAAACGAACTTTTCATTTAACGCTGTGTTACAAAACAGCCAGATTCAATACAATCAGTAATCAAATGTTTTTCGAGAGTAGCTGTAAAATCGATCGTTCCAATTACTTAGAAAATTTTTGAAATATTAATTTAGCCTAACACCTTTTTGAACCTACGTTTGTAACGTCTCAATTCCTTGCTTGATTATTTTTGCTACTTTGTTAGTTCCTTTCAACAATGTAGGAATTTGATGCATGTCCGGTCCTCTTAGGGGCACGTGAGGAAGCAAACTAAATTTTCAACGCATTTTCATTTTTTGTACTGAGTGCAATTCGCCCTTCATCGACTTTTCGCAAGTAAAAGCCTGATGATTCGTTAAAAATGAAACAAGGCTATAAGCCTGGTCCGTTAAACATCATTTAAGTTAGAAAGAGTTTATGGTCAAAGGTCTGGCAGGCAAAGCCCTACCTATTACCCATGCAATGATCGTTCAGGGTCACTCTGCTGACTTTTCTCAGAAACTAAAGAAAGCCCCCAACAGTTAGAAAGCAATTGTGGTACCATTCTTTTATAAAGCTAAGAATCAGCGCCAATTTTCATTCTGTTTCCGTCAGCCAGGAATGCCTCGTATGAATTTTCTGCACCTTACTACCTGATCATCATTAGTGCTGCACCATGCATGGGTATAACATGCAGAAGAAGGCGAAACAGAAAACAACATCTGAAAAAGCAGTTGCACTTGAAGAGGAAACCGAAACAAAAAAATTCAAGTAAAGGAAAAACGGATACCAGAAACATGAATATTTATGTGGTTTCTCAGGAAATCAGAGGCTAAGCGAAACTGTGCTCCAAGCTCCGTCTAGTCCATGTACGGATGTCGCCACTCGTTCATCGGCACATGTGTCTCCTTGACGGACAACGCTGAAGTCCATTTCAGAATGAAGTGGGGACCGCCGGCTTTGTCGTTAGTCCCCGAATGCCTCGCCCCACCGAACGGCTGCTGGTTGACGACAGCCCCAGTGCTTTTGTCGTTGATGTAAAAATTACCCGCTGCGTACCGCAGATCCACAAGCGCCTTTTTGATGAACTCTCTGAAAAACGTTGTATAAACAATCTGATGCTTAAACGATCGAATGCATTGCAAGCATCTAGAAAGCGGGTACAATGGCACGCGTTTCAAACCAAATAGATATTAATCGAGGCAGAACACGTACGAAATAAACATCCCATAAGCAAAACTCGGTAATTGTGAAATTCGGGACGTGAAGCACACCGGCTTCATCCAATGGTGCATAAACCAGTTAAATTCTTCACGACTTACCATCAGATCGATATTAAGTGAATTTCAGTGCTGTACACCTTCTACGTCTCGCTTGTTTCTAACACTACTGTAAGAGCAGAAAAGATTATCACCCCCTTTAAGTTAGACACGTTTGAAAAAAATTCCCTTATGTTCTGCGATGATGATTAAACCGCATCCGAAAGGAAATGAAACGAAACATACATAAAATGACGATGCCGACATACGTGCCTAACAACTTTCATGCAGTAAATGAGGCTGCAATCTCATGAAAAATTTTGAAGACTACCCAAGAAGCAAAGTTAACAGACAACAGCTTAAAATTTAGCAAGGGTAAACGTAAGAAACACGTAAATCAAAACCTACTTGTCTGTGGCAAACACAGAACCGGTTAGACCGAAAGGAGTTGCGTCTTTGACAGAGGACAGAACTTCATCCATCTTGGAATCAGGGAACGGGTAAACCGCCAGGACCGGTCCAAAGATTTCCTTAAATATAAAAGTGGTTTCGGTACATGTCAAAGATGTGTTCAGTATTTGATTTGAGAACAAAAAACAAACTTCTTTCATAATCTTGTCTGAAGGATCGCTACACTCTACAATCGTCGGCTCGATGTAGTAACCTTTGGATCTGTCACATTTCCCGCCACCTATGATCTTCAGTTTCGGCGAGGAATGTGCGTGATCAATGTAACTTTTGATGCTGTCGAACGCTGCACTATCGATGCACGCAGTCATGAACACGCCGTGGTCTCTTGGCTGAAACGCAAAAGTAAAGAACACAAAAATTTGGCAATTTAGCAAAGAAAACATAACAGCACACAAGTCAGAGAAAAGATTTGGCAGATATCTTAGTAGCAAACAATATATTAGGTGGTGATGACAATACAATCCGCTAATGTTTGTCTCCAGTGAATAACGTTAAAGAAAGTTACGAATTTATTATCGGTCGTGATTCCTTAAATAAATTCCTATCCTTCCAAGGGATAGCTAGTGCTAATAACTTCTGCATTAATTACTGTTCAGGGTGTATGAAAGGACCTTATTTTAGGCCCTCATCCCATGCTTAGAGGACAAGAACAACTTGATCTTAAATGGAATAACGGGTGACGAGCGAAACACTGCTCTGCTGTTCGACTTCAACCACAGTGCCCACATCGTAGACAACGGGCAGCAACCAAATAAGGGACTGCATGACAAGTAAGCAATTCGGTGCGTAGCCAAATAGGGTCACTAATAGGCTATAAAAAAGGTTTGAAACACGTGGAATCCATTAAAAAAGAAACGGAAAACAACTAAAATGGTGCATTACTTTCGACTATGCAGATTTCACACAAAAATTTCGTGACAAAATGACGGTTCATTTGCATTCGCATTCGTTCACGTGCGCATTACTTTCCTCTAACGTAAGCGAGTCATCCCCCTTCGAAAAAAATAATCACGAAAAACAAAGAATTTAACTATATTACACATTACTTGTTCTTCAAGCTCTACTTGATGCTGTACCCGGTTGCCAATTCCGCTCCCTCTTCTACGTACAAGGTTTTGGACAAAAATTATGTGAAAAGTATAATTTTCGTTACGGCATAACTTTTAACATTAGACGTTAAATAGTAAATTACAATGCAAGTGTAAAGCAATAAGATTTAGTGAATGTGAACTTAACACCGTCAATTAAACAGTCTCCTTAGTAGCAACTCAGGTTTTGTTTCCTTCGTAGATTTTATGAGATCTACGAAGGAAATTGCCTACGAGATCCATGAGAGCGGCAAGAATATGCCCCTATACTAAAAAACTTTAATGATTAGCATCCCTATGCAGAATAGATATATTAGCATCTCTAAATGGATGCCCTTGATTTACTGAGTGTTGTATAATCAGTGAACGTTACAAGTGAATGTTAGTAAAGATGACTTTTTTTAATAAAGCTTCCTTACTATAATTATTAAATAGGGT